GTTGGAGAGATAGGGAGAGAGAGAGAGAGAGAGAGAGAGAGAGAGAGAGAGAGAGAGAGAGAGAGAGAGAGAAAGAGAGGAGAGAGAGAGAAGAGAAAATAAAAAAGAAAAGAAACATGGATGTGAGAGAAACATCAATTGGTTGCTTTCGGTACCTGTCCTGACTGGGGATCAAACCCAGAACCCAGGCATGTGCCCAGACCTGGAATCATACCTGCAACCTCTTGGTGCACAGGATGAGCCATTGCAGCCGGGCACACCTATAATTTCCTCAGAGGCCTTTTACCTGACTGAAGAGTACCCTGAAGCATTGCCTTAAATCTTTCTGCAATGTAAACAAAAGGTTTTATAGTCACATTCTCAGTTTCATTTTGGACCATGTTTTCTTGTTTGTTTGTTTTTTGCATTGTCCGGGATTTGAGCTTTGGAAGAAAACCATTTCTTAATTTATCATCATTTCATAATTTTGCCATTTGGAGAGCTTGAGAATTTTCTGCCATGAAGTCCTGGCTCTTTTATACGTAACAGTCCTTTCTTTTATTTAATTCAGGATTTCCCAACCTCAGCACTGTTGACGTTTGGGGCTGGACAATTCTTAGATGTGGGAAGAGGGTTTGTCTTGTGCATTGCAGAATATTTAAGTATCCCTGGCCTCCACTAAATAGAAGCCAGTAGCAACCTCCAGTATTGACAAGCAAAAATGTCTTCAGACATCACCCAATGTCCCCCAGGAGGCAACATTGCTCTCATTTGAGAACTGCTTTCATTTCTCTGTCTCCAGTTGCATTTACTCTAAGCAGCAAGAAGAGTTCGGGTGGCATCTTCAGCACCTTCCTTGGAAATATCCTTAGCTAGATCACTCAACTCATTAGGTACATTTTCTGCAACAGGGCTGCTACACTTTATGCTACAACATAAGAATTCTTCTCCAGTTTCCAATAGTATTTATTTCACTTTCCTCAATGCCCTGACTGCAACCATATCAAAGGACTGAGGCCTCTAGTAACAGCTTTTTCAAGGCACTTTAGGTCTTTATTATACTCTTCTCAAAGTCTATTGCCCAGTTCTAATGTCACTCCCATACTTTAGAGCAGCGGTCGCCAACCTTTCGGACCTCACGGACCACCAGTGGTCCGCAGACCACCAGTTGGCGACCGCTGCTTTAGAGTGCTGTGACAGCAGCTCTCTATCCCAGGGCCCAAATCTCTATGTTATCTATTGCTACACAGCAAATTATCCAAAAGTCAGCAGTTTAGAACAAGAAATATTTATGACCTCTAAGGTTTGGCACATTAGGACTCCTGGGAATGCACTAGCTCAGTGGTTCTCAACTTTCCTTAGATGTGGGAAGAGGGTTTGTTTTGTGCATTGTAGAATATTTAAGTATCCCTGGCTTCCACTAAATAAAAACCAGTAGCAACCTCCAGTTTTGACAAGCAAAAATGTCTTCGGACATCGCCCAATGTACCCCAGGAGGCAACATTGCTCTCATTTGAGAACTGCTTTCATTTCTCTGTCTCCAGTTGCATTTGCTGTGACCCTTTAATACAGTTCCTCATGTTGTGGTGACCCCAGATTAATCACAAAAATATGTAATTATATATGTTTTCCGATGGTCTTAGGCGACCCCTGTGAAAGGGTCATTCGACCCCCAAAGGGGTCTTGACCCACAGGTTGAGAAC